GAATTATTTTTTCTTATTTTGTCTAAGCTTTTGAAACTTCTAAATTTTAAATTTTTTATTTATGTTAACTTGCTCTTTTTATCTATAGAGTATGAGCTTATTTGTTTCTGTAAAATTTATTTATAACAATAATAAATCTTATCTATAATAACAATATAACATAATCAGAGTTCTGCAAGTGCCAGACATGTACTATTAAAAATGATGTCTGTGCCCATATCTGGCACTATGTTTTAATAGTGCCTATACCTAGCACCTGCAGAACCCTAAACATAACCACAATATTCAGAGTCAAATAAGCCCCATACTCTGAAGTAAAATATTTAAAATAGAGACTTTTAATTTTATTTTTTTTTAATAAAAGGTTAAAAAAATTTTTTTTTTTTATATAGATTTTTAAAGGATGTGGTGAATTTACTAGAACCGATTGAAAGAGTAATCTGATGCTTATGTGGTGCTAAAGATCCAACTATTAATCTTGTTTATCCGTATATAGAATTATTCAAAAAAAGGTTTGCTTCAAAGATAGATGAAACAGTTGATACTTATTTGAATTTGATTTATGGAGAAGTTGAAAGTGAAGAGAATGAAAGTGATAAATCTGATAATAATATTCCTACTGCTGGTACTCGTAAACAATGGCAATATGCACACAGGCAGTTTAGCCAAAGGATGGCCTCTTGTAGTCAAAGTCAAAGTCAAAATATAAGAATACAAAGACGTTCCGCTAATGCTGAGTTAGAAGATACTGATCAGGTAGAATATTTGCTTTCTGTTGCTACTGATGGTTTACTTTGTAAAGTTCGAGCTGCTATTTATCTTTCATTAGATGAATTATAGGCAGTTCCAATGAATATTGCTTTAGTTGCTACGTTTCTTGATCCAAGGTTCAAACATTTTAATTGGGCAACAAGTGTTGAGCGAAATAGAGTACAGGATTTGGTAATGACCCTGTATAATGAATTAAAAATAAACCTTACTATTCCAGATGACAATGAAGAGAATTTGGTGGACAGTAATTATAATGATAACAATGATGATTTTTTTTATGAATTAGAATCAAATTCTACACAAGTTAATGTAGAAGATGATGATGAAGTAACGTGCTATGTAAAGTTAAAAGAAATCAAACTTATTGATGATCCCCTAGAATAGTAGTTAAAAAATAGAAGTAGCTTGCCTGTTTTAGCCCAATTGGCTTGCAAATATCTTTCTATTCTGGCAACTTCCATGCCGAGCGAAAGATTGTTTTCTGATGTCAGCAAACATATCTTAGCAAAACGAACTCGTTTGTCACCAGATTTAGTGAATAAGGTTTTGTTTTTGAAACGCAATAGAGTTTATTTTGATATATTTCTACCACAAGAATAATAGTTTTTTAATAGCTATTAGCTTATTTATTCAATCTGAAGGTTTAATTTTTCTTTTAATTTTTCAATTGTTTATTTTTTTTTTTTATTTTTAAATTTTTAAATTTTTTTTTTACTTTAAATTTTCAATTTTAAATTCTCTGAAATTAACTTTTTTTGATTTTAAATTTTAAAATTTTAAATAAGTTGATCATTAAGGACACTGATAAATTTCTTGGTGATTATTAGGCCTACCGAATAATTAATTAGGAAGGCAATTAATTGCAATTATTTAGAACCCAATTAATTTATTGGTGGCGTAGCTACAATTAGTCAATTAATTGCAGTTTAATTATTTTTCGTGTAATAATTATATAATTGTAATAAGATAATTGTAATAAAATTTAATTTTTTGGTACCCTTGGTGATTATAATTCGCTTTTCTAATAATAAACATTGATACTAGTTTTCTTACCTTAAACAGGAAGACTGCTCAAAATTGACTGTATATTACGATTATTTCAAATTCATATAAACCAAATCTCAAGATGTTTCTTGA